CCGCCCCTCATTTTCCTCGTCTCGACGAGTACTTTCTGTTTATGCAATAAAATTCAAGTTTTGATAAAATACAAAAATCGAAACATGCATGAACAGTTCGGCAACGCGAAGAAAACGAACAAAAACGAGGCCAAAACGAAAAAACAAGCAGTATACACTTCAGACGATACATATGCATGATCGGGAAACAAGTAAACGGGCTCTGATACCAATGTTGGGAAAACTCAATTCCCGATCGACACATTCAAAACATATTCGGAACGAATTTGATCAATGCGGAAAACGTGCCGGAGGACCATCAACTTGTATCACCGATCGTACGGGCATATCACACAACGAACATACCCGGTATTGTCACAGATTAAGTGCCACTTTGCGCTTGAGAGTTCTTCGATCGTCTTTCGTACTCGTGTGCGTTCCGAAGGAAAACAGAGAAGACGTTGTATCGAAGGAGTGTGTTTGCATATATAAAAAATCACGTCTGTTTTCCAAGGGGTGCCTTCTATTATAGATAGGCAAATAACTACCTCGTGGGCCCTTGTGGCTCACGGACCGGGTTTGGCCCATCTTGGGCGGTCCACCCAATATGTCTTACAGAAGGGATTGCCTTAAGCTGAAGAGCGAGAAAGGTAAGGGAATTAGAGTTGAGTCTACGGATGATGTTGCGGCTATAGCATACAGTAATTCGGATAGTACTGATTTTGTCTTGTCTGTCACTAATTATTCATCGTTTGGTAGATGGATTATGGATTATAGTTGTTCTTTTCATGTGACACCAACCAGGAATTGATTTACTACTTATCAGTGCACGGATAGTAGTAAAGTACAGTTAGAGAACAATGCGAAGTGCGATGTTATAGGTGTTGGTGATGTTAGAATCAGAATGCATGATGGTATTGTGTGGACATTGACTGGAGTGAGGCATGTTCCAGAGTTGAAGAAAATTCTGATTTCCTTGAGTGCTCTGAATTCAATTGGGTGTCGATATTTTTCAGAATGTGGAGTTTTGAAGGTTCTTCGAGGTGCCATGTTGATAATGAAAGGAATCAAGCATAGTGGCCTGTATGAACTTCAAGATGAGACAGTGACGGAATTCGCTGCAGCAACGTCGAATGCATTGGTTCGAGAGTCTGAATTGTGGCATATGTGTTTGGGGCACATTAGCGAGAAAAGCCTTAAGGTTCTAAGTGAAAGAAATTTACTCTGTGGTTATGTGCCAAATGAACTGAATGTATGCAGGTGATGTGATTTAGATCAACGGCGGAAAGTGCAATTCAATGCGATTGTCAAAGAAACCACGGATATTGCAAAAATAATTCACTTAGATGTTCACAAGTTGTTGCGATTTCTTTCAAAAAAGAGTACCAAATTTATGCTAACAGTTGTAGATGACTAATCTATGAAGACATGGGTGTTTATGCTTAGGCACAAGTTTGATGCTGTTGTCAGGATTAGGCAGTTGAAAGCTTTGATCGAAAAGGAGACTGGTAAAACGATCAAGCAGGTGCGAACTGACAATAGTATGGAGTTTTGCTCGAAGCTGTTAAATGAATTCTGCATGAAGGAAGGCATAGTGAGACACCGCACTAGTGCTAATGAATCACAACATGATGCAGAGCTGATGAGCAGAACATTAATAGAGACGGCCCATAAAATCCTCTTTAGTGCTGGTATGGCTAGGAGATTCCTGACGGATGCTCTTAGTACAGCGAGATGCTTGAAGAATAGATCCCCATCGACTGTGATTGGATGTCGGACTCCAGAAAAAGTGTAGTCATGTAACGTTGCTAATTATTCTATTATTAGAATATTTGGTTGCCCATGTTATGTTTGAGTTGGTGATGGTAAGCTCGATGGAAAAGCAAGAAAGTGCATGTTCATAGGTTATGCACAAGGTAAGCGGGGCTATAAGTTGTGGTGTTCGGAATTAAATTCGTCTGTTATTAGCAGAGAAGTTACATTTGACGAGTCTCTAGTACTTCTGGCTATGAGTGATTATAGCAGTGCTCATACGGATCTGAATGGTGTTCAGCTTGAGGTGGAGTTACAACCAGAAACTCCTAAGGTAGCGGATACTAGCAAAATAATCGACACGGATGGTGCTTATAGCGAGGTGGAGCCTATTAAGCCAACAGTTGTTGTAACTGCTGATATTGACAATGTGCGTATTCGATCTCCTGACATATATGGATGCAACGATGGTTTTGCTTTATCTGCGGTTAAGAAGGTTGTATCGGAAAATTCTTGTGGAGCGATTAAATGTAAAGTTGGTATTCTGATAAAGTCCACAGCTATAGCGAAGTTCAAGCGAAGCGTGGACTTGGAAGACATCTGTGGCGGTTGAGCCCATTGAGGCTGTGGGAGAATAGTAACGACATTCGAATTATATCAAAGCGATTGTGACTTGACTCAAGCATTAAGCCAATGTGAATATTGTTAAAATATGTCTCGAGTTTGAGTTTGAAACAAAAAATCTGAATATTCCGAATTGATAATTTGCAGACATCCGAAATCGAGCAAAAAGGAAAGATCTGAAATTCGCTTTCCTAATGCATGTTGGAGTCTCTGTTCTCAAACTGGAAATATTGAACGTTGACTCGGTCAATATGTCAGAGAAAAAATAAAATAAAAAAAAGAAATCAACTCCTTGAAGTCAGTCCAAGAAGAGCAAATAGGGAAATTAAAGAAAATTGACTTTTCGTGGGATTCCACCGAGATTGCTTTCGGCCACTTATATATTTGTATTCTTGGGTTTGAGATAAAGACGTCGTTGTTGATGAAGAGGTCTTGAAGCGCCGTTTACGAGTGCTAGACAGCGAGCTATCTTCGTCATTTTGTTCGTGAAATTACATCAAGAGTTTAAGTATTTAAGCAATTAAATCTTATGGTAAGATTTATGTACAATTCTTTTGCGAGATTGAGAGATTATTTCGTGAGAAATTATGGAGTTAAACACTGCGTGAATTATTGAGTGTAATTGGAGCTTGAGAAATACTGAGAGTGTTTAAGTTACTCGAGTTGGTTGTAATCTCCGTTGTATTACTTGATCTAAGTGAAATTCCGTGCTGCTCTTCCCGTGGGCGTATGTCACTACGACCGAACCACGTAAATCTGGTGTCCGATTTATTTTCTTGTTTTGTCTATTTTACTGTTCGATCGCTTGACTTCCGTAACACTTTGTGTTATACTCGTGAGCAAGAAATCTCAAGTATCTTGGATTATGAGACATATAATATAATTGTCACCGTAGAAAAGAACCAAAATTAAATGAAGACATGATAATTGAGGAACAAACCCCAGCATTTTGCTTACAAAAGATCTTGCAATATTTATGATTTCATCGGATTATTATAATGTGCAGAACTAGTGTATCAGTTGTGTGTGTTGAAACCCCAAACATAAAGATTGCTTGAAACTTTGGTCAAGGGTTTTATCAATAGAAGCTGCATATTCTGCGGCTTGAAATGTTAGTAAGATTTATGTGTTCTAGCAACCTTTATAAATAAAAAAAAAATGTACTCGGACTCGAACACTGTATATTCAAATTTGGGTTCCAGCTGGACGACACTGACCGAGCTTAGCTCTATAACTCGAGAACTTGTCCTTCCAGATCTGCATGGAATCAATCCTCGTTTTCCAAGGTTAGAAAGAAAAATTAAAACATAAAAAAGACGACTTTGTTATAACTTCCGTAAATTTGTATTTATTGCTGTTCGTCCCAGAGAAACTCATTCTGTATTAAACACAAAATTCAATTACAGTTGGCAAGGAATCTAGCCACTGATTGCGACCCAGCTCCCATGTGTCCTCTCATTCTTCACATTTATTTTTTGTCACACTTTAATTTCTCCGTGGGAAAACGACGTACTCAAGCTGTCGGTGTTCACACTTGTATGAAGAAATAGCTTCATGCCATCTTTCTGAGGAGAGGAAACAAAATTACGGAAGAGGGTGAAGGAAGATATGATAATTTAGAAGAGGTATAGTATTTAAGTGTTTAGTATATCAGCGCCACAAAGTAGGTTAAATTCCTGGACAGTATCGGGCACTTATCGATGTCAAAAAGAAATTAGAGGAACTGACTTTGTGTCTTGGACTCACAGAAAAGGAGGGTTACAGAAATTCATTTGTGTTGCTTAGAAGATTTTGCAAAGCCAATTCATGAAGCTCGATGAGAAGGCAATTACCTTTGAAGATTCTTCCAAAATACAAATTATATGGAAATGGATCATTTTGTTTTGAATACTTAACGGCTTTCTGTTTCGTTTGAATATAATATAAAACTTTGAAAGATAATTTTGGAAGAGACTCCAAATTCTCTTATCTTTCCCTTCTTTTTACTAGGTTATACGCATATTCTGGGTGGAATAAAAAAGAAAATTTATTGTATCTTAGGATGATAGCCGCTAAAGTGTATCGTATTTCAAGGGGCGGAATTATCCTTACGGACAATGCTTGCACGTCACACGCCTTGGACAATTGATATTATTTTCTCATCTATTTCAATTAAATTTCAGCAATTCTGATTTTACATGTTATTTAATATTTTTCCAACAAATGGACCATTTTGTTTTAAATACTTAAACGTCAGAAGGCACTTTCTGGGAAGTTCACGGAATATGCCATGATTCATGTTTTTTTTGTGAAACTTGGCTGACACAGGATAAGAGCCTGATAATATCCTCCATTCACGTAGATTAGCAAACAACGGAAACTTCATTTATATATGAATGGAACGGCTTGGGCGGACTACGCATTCAGTTTATTTGCAATGTCTTTATCTACTCCAACCACGGAAATATCCTTTTCGCCTCGATTTTTTAAAGAGCTTTTGTAAGGACTTCTTATAACGTCAAATCACGTGGGGCCAGGACTACACGACAATTTTCCATCACGTTGCCCAAGCCCGTAGCGGGTGCCCAGAAGTCAATGGTCTTGGTCAGGAATAATAAGTAATCTATATAGTTGTCTAATGTCTATAGACCTCCTGTGCCCCTCTGCGAGAGAACGCCCGAGAGAGAGAGAGAGAGAGAGAGTGAGAGCGAGCAAGCGAATTGGTCCTTGGCGTTTCTAATATTTTTCCGAGTTATGGCTTCTGCGGTTGTGGCTGCTGGAATGAAGCGAAAAAGAGAGGTTTGTTTTCTCTGCATCTTTGGGATTTGTATTATTTCTTCTTCGACATGAATCTGGTGGAATCGATCCTCTGCTTGTAGCCCAACTGCTAAACATCGTCTGGAATCTTACAAATCTTCTTTTGACGTGAACAATTGAGTCAATGCACGCTCAAAATCACGAGATCCTATCAAAACTCCAAGCACTATTGATGTTGTGCGCTGGGCCTGTTAACTACTGTTTTGCTTTCCCCTAAAATTTGAAATATCATTTAAATTTGAGAAAATTATGAAATGATTGCTTTTGAATTCACTAATCAACGTTTGAGTATTACGAAAGTTCTGAAAATTATGGATCTTAAAACAGTCAAAATGCATGAGTTGCGAGATTCAGTTGCAGTCAGCTTGCTGTGTTAGGTTTGGCTCCATCGGAACCATAAAACTTTGGTTTTTCTTTTCTTTTTTTTTTTTTTGTTTGTTTGTTTGGCCAGAAGCATAAGACTTGGTCTGAAACACTATGTATACTTTAATTTCCTTGATTTGACAGGAATCATCTTCAACCTTATCGTTGTCATCTGGACTCAATCATGAAGTATTCTTGAATTTTAGAGGTACAGATACTCGTGAAGAATTCACAGATGTCCTTCACGAAAAACTGAAAAATGCAGGGATCGTGGTCTTCAGAGACGATGAAAAGCTCTGTGCCGGAGAAGAGATCAATAAGGGGCTAAAAGATGCGATCAAGCGGTCAAGGATCTCGATAGCCATCTTCTCCAAAGATTATGCTTCTAGTAAAAGTTGCCTCATGGAGCTGGTACAAATGTGGGAGTGCAGAAAATCAAATGGACAGATTATTATCCCCATTTTCTATGATGTTACTCCCAAAGAAGTAAAACACCAGACTGGGGATTTTGCAACGTCCTTCGAGAAACATAAGGATGACAAAGTCCACTCAGATACCATCAAAACATGGAAGGAGGTTCTTGAAAAGATCGTTGAGTTAGTTGGATATGAGCGGAAGAACATAAATAGCGGGTAATTCTTTTGCTTCTGGTTTCTTTTTTCTTTCCTAGAAAAATGAAAAAAAGAGAAGGTTTAGGATGATGTGAAAATGAACCCGAACCTTTTCTAATAAATATCATATGTGATCATATCGATGATGATGCATGCTAGAAAGATCTTTAAGGTTATTCTTATGAAATGGATGGATAATTTAACAGGTTGAAGTTCTATATGCCTATTGAATGACCGGTGAGTCCATTAAGATGCCATTTGAAAATGACTCAAGCCGACCTGGTCCACCATGCTCTGTTCGTTCCCACTTGGCTAGAACTGTTGTTTTGAAGATAGCATGATATCAATGTCAAAGTTACTCTGTGGATCAAAGGGAAATCGACCATGCATTGAAACTTGCTCTCCACTTAAATTGAAAAGTCCCCCTGCCACTGTTGGTTGATTTAATTTTCGTCAGTTCGGACCCCCGCTTGATTTTCGTCTACTTTTTAATATTTTTGGTAACTCTGCTGTCATCCTCGTGCTTCATCACTCATGTTTTGCAGGCATGTGACCGACCTCCTAGAAAACGTTGTTACACGTGTCAGGCAGGAGTTGACTGAGGATGACCAAGATGTAATCGACAAACTAGTTGGAATCGATCTTCATGTTCAAGAGATGATGACAAAGCTTGGTGTTGTCTACAGCCATGGACAAGCGATGAAAGTATGTGGAGAAGGCGTACGTGTTGTCGGAATATGCGGTATGTCGGGTGTCGGAAAGACTACACTTGCAAAGGTTGTCTTCAACAAGATTCATAAGTTGTTTGATGAATGTAGCTTCTTCAAAGGTATAAATTCAGAAGGAGTCAAGGTTTCCCAAGATCTTTTGATTGCTGACCTTCAAAACGAAAAACCTGAACCACTGAGACCTTTTGGTAAAGGTAATAAAAAAATAAAAAGTCTTTTTACCAACATGAAGGTTCTCATTGTGCTTGACGATGTGCATGAGGATCAACAAATTGAGGCATTAGCTGGGAAGCTTACTTGGTTGGGTTCAGGAAGTAGAATCATTGTGACCACAGATAACAGAGATGTTTTAAATGTTTTCGACGATGAAGCAGTTGAAAAATACAAGGTTAAACCAATGGAAAATCACCATGCTCATCAACTCTTTTGTAAGCATGTTTTTCAAGAGAATGCCCCCCCAGATGTCCCCGAGTACGATTCCTTGTCCAGAGACATCGTCAAAGCTCTTGGAGGGCTTCCTATGGCTATTGTGCTTCGGGCAAAATTTTTAAAGAAAAAGAAGAATATAGAGATGTGGAGAAGTACCCGGGATTCCTTAAAAAACCATCCACATGAGAGAAAAGTAGAAGCTGCCCTTAAGGCCAGTTACGAATCTTTAGATGATCGTACAAAGGAGATATTCCTAGACATAGCATGTTTTTTTATTGGAAAGGATGAGAGGATTGCCTCTTACATGTGGAAGGCTTGTGGTTACTTTCCTCCTATAGAAATAGAAGAACTTCGTGACATGCATTTCTTGGAAGATGGAGAAAATAATGAATTAAGAATGCACAGTCTGTTAAGAGACTTTGGCAGGAAGCTTGTTGAGAAGAACGTTCTTCAAGAGCGCTGCAGGATTTGGAAATTCAGTGATGCACGTTCCATTCTAATGGACGGTCAGGTAAGTTTTCAAAGCCTCTAGAAATTTCTTTCAGATGGTCACGAAAGCGTTCAGATAAACCATCCATAGATAGCATAAACTATTCGATCTTTGGAGCGAAAAGAAAGGGATCTGTTCTTGAACACGATCTGGAACGAGTAATGGATACCTACTTGATTTTTGTAAATTTAATTTGTCTCATTTCATTAAAAGGAGTAAGAAATTAAAGTTTTCAACTTACTCATACGTGTCCCCCGTCGACACTTGACAGAGTAATGAACGTGTCCAAGGCATTAGTCTCCTAGTTGAAGAGGCTTGCACCGTCCCTTTTACATGTGAAAAATTTGGCAAAAAATCAAAATTGAGGTACCTCAGACTGGATGGGGCTAACATTGTGGGAACATCTGAGAATCTTCTTCCAAATTTGAAGTACCTCAGACTGGATGGCACTAACATTGAGGAAAAATCTAAGGAAAATCCTAAGAATCTTCTTCCAAATTTGAGGTGGCTAGATTGGCGAAAGTGCCATTTCATTTCTGAGCTATGTGATGTGGATTTGAAGGAGTTAGTCATTCTCGATCTGTCCAGGAATCCAGTCACCAGATATTCACAAGTCTGGAGGCAAATCATGGAGGTATGGCCAATATTTGCTTTTTAAGTCTGGTGTTAAGATAATAGGTACGAGTGAGTAAATTTTGATATCTTCTTTTGTACTTTGCAGAAGGTGAAGGAATTGAAAGTCTTGAACCTACAAGGATGTGATCTGTTAGGAGCATCATTGAAGTTTTCAGCTTCATTCGATTTGGAGATGTTGATAATGGAAGATTGTACTCGGTCACCTGGACTTGGGACGTACATCAGTAAACTGGAGCGCTTGCAATACTTGAATTTGAGAAACTACAAGGGAGTCCAGCAGTTGCTACAACAACTGCGCGGCAAGGAACTTTTGACGGAACTTCTGATTGATGGAACTGACATCGAAGAAATTCATATTGAGAATGATTCTTTGAAGAATCTTGAAGTACTTAGTGCTCGTGACTGTAAAAAATTGAAAGATATATCCCCAATTGGCCACCTAACGAAACTCAAAAGTCTTGCTCTGGATGGTGCTAATATTGATTGGGTTCCAAAAACTTTTGAATTTCCTCAGGATCTTCAGACACTTTCTTTAAGGAATTGTTCAATGTTCGAAGAACTTCCACCTTCCATCGGGAAGCTGGAGAAGCTGGAGGTAATGGACCTTTCAGACACTAGAATCACAGAACTACCAGAGTCAGTCAAGGATTTGAGAAATTTAAAGACGCTGAAGATGGAACGCACTCACCTACAAAATTTTCCTGAAGATATTGTGAACTTAAAGAAACTGGAAGAGATAGATTTCTCTGGCTGCAAAAGTTTGGTGGCCCAAGATAGTTGTGATATTTCAGGACTATCCTCTTTGAGAATTTTGAGATTATCATCATCCAATGTGGCTGGGCTGCCTCAGGGCATTTGTGGTCTCTCTCGCCTCCGAACCCTTGACGTAAGTAAATGCGAACGACTTCAAACACTACCAGAGTTGCCCTCCAGTTTACTCACTCTCTGCTGGGGATCCAAAATCATGGCAGCCCCCGAATTGACAAATCTGACGAATCTAAAAGAGCTATGCTTGAACAATGATGAGCGGCCAGAAGCAGGGTCATCGAATCCGACCCCAGATATTGGGTGGATCTTGGGATTAACAAGTCTAGAGACCTTTGAATTGTCCCTTCCAAATGTCACCAGTCTCCCTGGGGATTTTAGAGCCCTTACTCAGCTCCGGGAACTCACTTTATCCTACATGAAGGAGCTAGTCCTCACACAACTTCGCTTGTCCCGAAGCTTATGGACTCTGCGTCTCAAACACTGCAACATTCAAAAGTCAAACTTTTCTGGTCTGAAATATCTGTCAGAACTAGAACTAGAGGACTGCGATTTAGCAGAGATTGATGGTCTGGAAGATTTAACGCTTTTGGAAGTCCTGAAAATTTCTCGATGCAAGGGTATAACAAACCTTAATGGGCTAAAAAAAATAGGATGTCTCCGGATGGTGCAAGTTTTCTCTTCTCCTCAAGTCATTCTACCAAAATTATCCGAACGTGTTGTAGTGGACAGATGCGATCATTAGTCTATACGTCCGTATCTTGCATTCTTCTCGGTCAGTGGATAGATAGTCTCTGTCCTGTATGAACTACTATTGAACTTTCGAGTCTTCGACAGGACATATAAGAAGCTGGCGGGCGCCTCTCTAAGGTACATGCTTGAATTCTGTTTAGAATTGTTTTTGACCCAAAACAAAGTTGGATTTTATTGTTTCCATTGCATTGGATCTATGCAGGGCCACAAAGTACCCCAGGAAAATTCTTCTTGTCTCGCAATTGGTAATGGCATCAAGAATCTCGCATCAAAACCATTACTGAAGGTAGTGTCGAAACTTGAATTGCTGCCTATTTTGTTGGTGTTCTATTTGTACTGTTTTCATAAAGGGCAATGCCATTTCCACTGTCCATTCACGGAGAAACCAGATAAAGATCCGGTTTACCAAAACACCATCTACTGTTGTTTGTAGCCTGGAGGATGCATCTACAAGCCGTCCACTGCCACTCGGCTCTTCGACCATGATGAGAAAGAGAAGACGAAGAAGAAAATAAGATCCAGCATCCACGGGCGATGTTGCGAGAACTCTGCGGTCGTGAGCCATCACGGGCCCGTACCTTCGTCGGCCCTGCTGGTGAAATTCTCCTCAACACCGCCTTCAGCGTTGCCATTCTTCATTTCAGTTGATCAAGTTGTCAAATCCGAATCTCCAGGAGTTGATGACAGGATGGGAACCCGAAATGGATACGACGGAGATTCAGTTAGATTGAATCACAAGAGAGTGCACTCTGAGGATGGGAAATGGAATTAGGATGATTGCGAGTCTTTGAATTGATCTGCTTCTCGGAGGGGAACTTTTTGTCCATCGCTCTCTTCACCTATTCTTATTCGATTCGCTGGCTTCCCTCGCATCTCTGGATTGTAGGGAAAAGGGTGTAATGCAACCAATGTGCGCATTCTTTTGGGACTGACCTCTTAACTGTTTGTGTTTATGCCTGAGGCGTCCAAACCGAAAATAAATTTGTTTGCAGACATTCTGACGGTGAGGACCATACTGTTTGACCTCTCCATTTGCTCCGATTCTTTTGGGCAATTAAAAATTATTGATACCGATGAATCTGAAATGGATTCTTTTTTGGTTCCTTGAAAATGGGTCAATCCAGAAACTTCCATTCATTATTTGCAGATGCTTGCCTGGAGGGCCTTAATGGAGTCCCTAATGCGGTGGAATGTTGATTTGTGCATTCTAGTGTCCCAAAACGTCCATTCTTTGCTTCTTTGGTGATTGACTCGCTCTGAAAATTCTTTAAATAGTTTTTTATATGTCTGAGGGGGCTTGCACTTGGTTTGTCTCCTTTGTTAAGGATATGATAAAGGGCTTGGGATGGTCTAGTTTGTCATCTGTATCTTGGTATGTAAAGTCAAAAGTCAAGCCTGTTAGTATTCGAAGAAACAAGTTCAGTTATTACCTTAACATGATTAAATGGAAAAGGATGGGTATTGAAACTTGGTTAATGTTGATTAGTGTAATGGTTCGTGGCCTCGAACTCTCGTGAAAGGCTATATTCTGGATACTTCTACTGAAGCTTGACGTTCATGAGGCTTCATATTTAAGCACTGATGAACATTACATATGGCACCCTGAAGTTGGCTAGGCTAGGCTAGGCTAGTGCAAGTACAATAAGTTCGTATGTATGCATGTATTGTTGCACTTTGCGGAACCTTATCACTTTTAGCTGATCATTCTAACTCTCGTTGCAAGCATACCAGTAAGTTGACAACTTGGTCATCTTTGTAGGTGAAACTCGGAATGGATGGCGTGGAGGAAGTTTTGGGGTTGAGTCCTTTGTCCGACTGTGTTGCCTTCAAAGTTGCTTACCTTTGCTTCTACTGCTTAGAATTCATGCTTTAAGAGTGAGGTTCCGACATATACTGTCAAGCACATGACAACAGAAGCACAATTAGAAAGTGCTTACTTCGGGAAAAGTGCCAAAAAAGTCTTAAACCTTTTGCATTAGTGCCAATTCAGTCCTAAACCTTTTTTTGGTGCCAATTCAGTTCTAAACCTTTTGCATTGGTGTCAATTTAGTCCTAAACCTTTTTTTGGTGCCAATTAAGTCCTAAACCTTTTAAATTGGTGCCAATTCAGTCCTAAACCTTTTGTTTTTGTGCCAATTTAGTCATTTTGGCCAATTTAGACCGGAATTTACCTACGTGGATGCCTGCCGGCCGGCGGCCGGTCACCGGCGCCGACGTGGACAACCTTAATATTTTTTTAATATTTTTTTGAATTTTTATTTTTTTTCCTTTTTTTCTTTTTTTTTCCACTTTTTTTTTTGTTGTCTTCCTCCTTCCTCTGGCCGGTTGCCAGTCCGGCGACCGGCCAGAGGCCAGAGGCCGGTGAGATCGAGCTCGCCGGCCACTGGCGAGGACGGCCTCGCCCGGCGAGGGCGAGCCTCGCCTTGGTCGGGCGAGGCTCGAGCCCTCGCCGGAGGCTGCGGCGAGGGTGAGCCTCGCCCGACCATGGCGAGGCCCGACCTCGCCGGAGGCCACGGCGAGGGCCGGCCTCGCCCGACCAAGGCAAGGCTCGAGCCCTCGCCGGAGGCCGCGGCGAGGGCCGGCCTCGCCATGGTCGGGCGAGGCCCGACCATGGCGAGGCTCGCCCCGACCATGTCGAGGCTCGCCCTCGCCGCGGCCTCCGGCGAGGGCTCGAGCCTCGCCCGACCAAGGCGAGGCTCGCCCTCGCCAGGCGAGGCCGTCCTCGCCAGTGGTCGAGCTCGCCGGCCAGAGGAAGGAGGAAGACAACCAAAAAAAAAAAAGTGGAAAAAAAAAGAAAAAAAAGGAAAAAAAATAAAAATTCAAAAAATATTAAAAATATTAAAGTTGTCCACGTCGGCGCCGTGATGCCGCCAGTAGGCGGCAAGGCCCACGTAGGCAAATTCCGGTCTAAATTGACCGGAAGGACTAAATTGGCATAAAAACAAAAGGTTTAGGACTGAATTGGCACCAATTTAAAAGGTTTAGGACTTAATTGGCACCAAAAAAAGGTTTAGGACTAAATTGGCACCAATGCAAAAGGTTTAGGACTGAATTGGCACCAACAAAAGGTTTAGGACTAAATTGGCACTAATGCAAAAGGTTTAGGACTTTTTTGGCACTTTTCCCTGCTTACTTCTGGTGATGATATCTTGCATTTAGTTCTCAAGTCCTTCAAGGTCGATGATACTCAGGTATGAATCATTCAGTGCACACCCCCACCCACCCCACCCCCCAAGTCGGGTTTGGGTCGCTCAAAATATATTGAGCAAAAATGGGTCAATATGGGTTAGGCCCTTTTCGTCCCTACCCACCCAGTTTGACGGGTCTACTGAATGGAAATCTTGAACGATGCTTATATCCATCTATAAATCTATAAATAATAAGAAAATTGGGAGAATAGAGATTTTTGTTAGCCACATCATCACAAAATTACTGTTTCTTCAACTTCTCTTCACATTACTTATAAATACTTATCGGTTGAAAAAGGTAAAAGTATTGTAATAACTAAAAAAAGTTAAAGGTGCCTACTTAGAAACCATTAACTTTTACATTAATTAGATAAAAGGTTTCCACTTACCTGACATTGATGTTCCGAAACAAAAATTTATGTAAAGATGTGATTAGCAATTAATTGTATATGTTGACAAATATGTAATTACTTAATTATATATGTTGACTAATGGCAAAATGCAACTGATTGAAAAAGATTTATGATACTATTAAAATAATAAAAAATTTAAAGGTACCTACTTAGTAACCATTAACTAATACATGAATTAAATAAAAAGATTAATATTTTCACTTACCTAACAGCGTTAGGCTAACACTGATGTTACAAAAAAAAACATTTAAAATGGACTTTAATTATTCACTTATCTAACACTGATATTGTTCCTAAGAAAATTAAAACGGGCATGCACAATATATAAAGAGGTTATTAGTAATTAATTATATTTTTTAGATAATTACATAAAAAAGTTTAACTATCCGGCTTGTCCAACATTGATGTTCTTTAAAAAAAAATAAACTAGATCCAATTATATCTATAGTGATCTATCTGTAATCTATAATCTACAATCTTATCTTATATCTAATAATTAAAATAGTAATATCATGAGTTTTTTGGTCATTGAGTCATTAATGCTGATTTTATTTAAGAACAATTGGAATCTGTAATTAGCGAGTTTTGCAATTAATGTTGTTTTTTTTTGCCAAACAATTAATGTTGTTGGTTAGCATGTAAATTGAATATAATTAATACAATATTTTTCGCTTGAATAAATGTATTCTAATCCACCTACATTTTCTTCGGTCGCCATTTTCGCAACAATCCATATTCCTTTCTGACGATTTAGATGATTTTATAGGCATCTAATAATTTCTATGTATAACCCGGGGAGTATTGTCAATTGGGATCCCTCGCCAGTCGCCACCGGTTCAACAGCCCTTTACCACAGGCACAGAATTAGCATTTTCTTATTTGATAGTTACTTTCATTTATCGCCTTTTATATGTGTTTTGTACAATAAATGAGGTGGGATGGTTATTTGAGGAGCCAAAAACGAATAGGAAAAATGGTACAAATAGTCTCTCAATTTTGTCCCTATGTGCAATGTGGTGATATGAATCTGTGTGGAAGATGATCGTTCTACGAAGATATGTGAGTTACGAATTGCTGACCTCAACCCCCAATCGAACCTGTGATTGGTAATCTCGGTATGAACGCGACCTATTGACGAACCTGTGTCAACCAATCCACGCTATAACGCCACGAACAAGAGAATTCGCGATCTTGCTCGATAAGTTGAATTCGATCGCCACAAGGGAGCCTTGATAAGATCTAGTCCTCAAGAGAACTCAAGAAGAAAACTTCTCTGTATAAAATTCTGCCTCCTCTTAGAAATCTATAAGCAACCTTATATAGGGTGCTAACCCTAATCCTAATCATACTAGGATTAAAATTACAAAAATAACCTTAATTACTAAAAATTCGTCCAAAAATGGAAAAAGGCCTAAAAGTTCATCTAAACGACTCCAAATCGCTAAAAAACATTATCAATCACTAGTAGTGAGTATTGATCAGCGGCCCGTTTCCAAGCGTCCATCCAAATTTGAGCCAATTCGGAGTTTGTCAATTCTAAGCTCCTTCGGAATTCGCTGGACCAAGAGTAATCATGTTGCGCCAAGGAGCTTCAGAATCTTCAAGTTTCGAATCCAGATTGTCCCTATTCCAAATATCTTGAACCATTATGCCGACAGCTTGTTTGAATTTCTTCGCTCTCGCTCGAGTGATCGGGCCTAGCGGATAGAACAACGGGTCCCTAGCACCTCCTCCTCGATAGGGTTCGATGTCCACATCATGTGGTCCTTGAACTTTTAATTTATATAATGTGATCTTTGAACTTTTGATATATGTTCAATTTAGTTTCTGGATGATTGAATCCAGAGATATAATAATTTAGAGACTAAATTGAATATCTACCAAAACTTCATGGACCACATTGAAAAAGTTCAAGGATCACGTTGCATATTGGGTTAAAGTTCAGGACCACATTGAACAAATTAAAAGTCTATGGACTACATTGTACATTGTAGCAAAGTTTGTGGACCATTTGTGTAATCATCACAAACGAATAACATAATGGTAGGGGAGAAGACGAAACGGCTTTTGAACTGTTCTGTTCTGTTTCTTTTCCTCTTTGACATTAAGAAATGACACGTTCTTACTCGACGCTGGATATGTGTGTACACCATTACATTTCCCTGCACTTAGCTTTGTCCTTCATATTATCATTGAAATAGAATGTTTTTGGATCCTGATCGCAAGTTCCTCATTGCCTTTGTCCTTTAGATTACTAAAAGTTATATTAAATGGAAGAGGACATCATAAAATGGGTTACATTCGACTAAATGATCTAAAAGACTGATTTTTCTTTCTTTTTTCTTTCTATACTACCATGTACAAATTATCAATTTCATTACATGATTGGTTATTACAATTTAATTTTTTACCGCGTCCTTTCTATAATAAACACTATAATTGGATGATGAATCTTTTTTTTTTCTCGTGCTAGAATTTTTCAAATGAATTTAATTACTACTATATTATGA